TCTTTAATAATGGGCTCTTCAGTCTCGTAGACGAAGGTCTAACACCAGCCAGGGGTTGGAAGTTCAAGCTAAACAATTGCGGATTGGAAATGAGGTGTAAATTTTTGACGGAGTAATAACCACTGGAACAGTTCCCCAACGGTTGTGCTGGATTCGCCATCACTGGCAATTTTAAATCAAGATTGGATGTTTTCCTAAAAGATCTGCTCTGGGGAGGAATTCAGGGAAGTTCTATGGCCTGTTTTGTACAGGAGGTCAGATAGATGATCGCAGTGGTCCCGTCTGGCCTCGGAATCTATGAAACTGCTCCCCCAGAAGCATCAGCTTTGGGGAGCTTTTCTAGCCTTGAAACTTCTCTCTCTCTCTCTCTCGTAGACTTCCATCGCTGCGAGAAAGCCATGACAGCTAAGGGAGCCGACACCACGTGCTGCCAGTGGTACCGCCGTGTGTACACGTCCCTCTGTCCCATCTCTTGGGTAGGTCACTGGGGCTGAAAGGTTCTTGGCTAGAAAGTGGGGTTATCAGGCGTGTGGGGGAGGGCAGAGGGCGCTCAGCACCTCACGGGATTGGGCCTGCATCTGCGTTAATTCTGGCTAGAGATGGATGCAGGAGCCAATTGGTGTAGCTGGGAAGCTGCAACGTGAGGGTCTCTCTGATCTAGAGCCCCAGGAGCTGTGTGGGTCCCTGTCATCTTCAGTCACACCAGCCCCTCCACCTGAAAAATTGCCCAGTGACCCAGATCCCATAATCCTTTGCAGGTCCAAAGGATTGTGGGATACAGGGAGTTCCTTTGGAGAATCCCCAGCCTGTAGCCCCTTGGCTGGAGCACTAATAAAAAGTGCTGCCTTGTTCTCATATAGGCAATCAATCTACATGTCCTAGCTCTGGCAGATCCCTGTCGGGTGATTCTGATGAAAAATCAGATCCACAACGGAACAATTTTTCATGACATGTGTCTGCTGCTTGCAGGAAAAATCGCAAATTGTCATCAAATCCGAATGCCTGAAAACCAAAATATTTCCATTTGGTTCCTCTGCTGCAATGTTTCATGGGCATTGTAGTTTGTATCTTCCTGGCCCCCTGCCCTCTATGGACTAGGTTCCCTGGCTGCACTACATTTCCCATGATGCACCGTGGTAAGGGGTGAGGAGACCCTCGTGCATCATTGCACGTTGGAGTTGTAGTCCAACTAGGATGCTTGGCCGATAGAGAATGGGGGCGTGAGGCCCCTGAAGTACAGCTTCCTTGAGGCACTAATCAAAATTCTGGCTTTTCAGCCAAAAAAGGTGCAGAAAAGTCCAGTTTTCTGCCAGCGGGAAGTCAAGAAGCCATTGTCCAGCTAGCCTTAGTCCTGGCCGTCCCCTCCCGCCCCAAGCCGGAGCTCCTTTCTTCTGGTCACGCCGGAATGGGTGATCAATGGAACTTGTTGGTCTCTTTCAGGTCAACGCCTGGGATGAGCGCCGGGCAGAAGGGACCTTTCCCGGCAAGATCTGATTGGCTGGTGTTGGTGCGTCGGCCACTTGTGCCCCCTCGCCCCGGGGCACAGTGGCTCTGCTCGGCCCCTCGGTTCGATGTCTCCGGCCGATCCTTTGATTGTCTTTATCTTCAGTCCTGTCCGCTCGAGAGTTCGGTGTCCTGTGATGGGGCAGAGTCTGGGCCTTGCAAACTCTGATGATAAAAGTAAAGGGATAAAACCTAGATCATCTGTCTCTCTCTTTCGTTGGGACCATAATGGGATAGTCTAAGGAGCTATTCCCTCCCAGCCCCCTGGCTCTGACACTAGACCCCACTCCCCTCCCCCAGCTGGGGAGAGAACCCAGGAGTCTTGACTGTGCAATTAGAGGGTGACACTGGCCCATCCTCCGTCACCCTTCTAAACCTGTGTTCCGCGCCGAGGAAGCAGCTCTGTTCTCTCTCCTGTCCCCGCGGGGATGAAAGGAAGAGACGTCCTGGCAGGAGGCTGTTTGGCACTTGGGCTGCTTGGGCCTCAGCTTGGCAAGCTTCTTGCAGCGCTTCCTGGTGGCAGCTCGCTGCGGTAGAGAGGCAATGAATAGCAACAGGTGGCACAGCACTGCTAGCCCCCACCCTGAACCACAGACAGCTGGGCTACTTCTCCACCCTCAACTCGTTCAGACACCCCGACTATCCCGGCCTAGGTCGCTCCACCGGCGAACGCTGATGGCTGGGCACTAGCCTGTCTGTTCTGCCCCAACCCCTCAAGCGCGAATTCCCCATCTCCTGCTGCATTTAACCCCTGCTCTATTCGCTGCTCTCTGCCTGTTTGGCCAATGGCGCTTTCCCCATTTACAGCAGCGTGCTGGGTTCGTACAGCACCGAGCACAGCCGGGTCTTGCTCTGTGTCCTCGAGGCACTAGGGCGACACAGCTCATAAATGTGTCTTCACCCTGATGAAACCCAACGCTGTAATTAAGGGGTGAGAATTAGCTCGGATCTGTGGCTGACTTTTGTACCACTCGACCCAGTTTGCTGAGCAGTGTCATGGGACTGCTGTCATCACACCAGTATGTTCCCTGCTGTTACACTAGGATAAAGGGGCCTTCCTGTAGTGGGAACAAGCTAGACCAGTACAAGCAGTTTTGTAATAGTATCATCGCCGTCCCCCCCTTCCCCCCGGTGAGGAGGCCAATGTAGCTTTCACTAGACTGGTGCTGTCAAAGTGGCACAATAGCTGTGCCCTACTGGGTTAGCAGGAGACTGCTGGCCTAAAGGCCCGCCCTCCCTTCCCCCCCACCCCGTAAAGGACCCCTCAATCCAAGGGGAGGAGCCATTGGACTGAGGTTCTGGGGTCAACCAATGAAAAACCAGGGATGAGAGGGAAGGTTAAAATTCAGGGATCCAGAGGGGGGAACAACGAGCCGCTCATCTAAGGAGTCAGTGGACACCAGTGGGAGGTGTGATTGGTGGCGGGGGATGTCCAGCTTCCATTGCTCCAGCTGTACGGCTGTTGTGGCCAGCACTGGGAGCAGGTTGCCAAGGAGGTCCTGTGACTTTGTGTGGCCAGGGATGGGGTGTGCATGGATTGGGAGGGAGGGGCAAATGCAGCCAGAATCTAGGCAGAAGGTGCTGGAGGAGCTGCAGGCTGACGTGCCCTTCGCAGATGTGTGCCAGGGTCTCCCTTGCTGCAGAAGGAGCTGGTGTCGGAGGAGTTTGTGCACCATGCCAGGTACATGCCTGTGCTCATGGCTTTGTGGATGAGCTGGCAGCTCTTACCCCTGGTGGGCTGTGGAACCAGAGTGGGGTGCAGGCTGCCCCCTGGGGTTCTCTGCCCTCTGCAGGTCACAGTAGGTCCCACCATTTGGTGTGGGGCAGGACATGAGAGCAAGGGAAGCATGGTGTGAAGCACAAGGGTGTACAGCTGTTTCCTAGGCAGGGTTGGGAGGCAGACCTGCTGGGTGGCTCAGCCTGCTTGAGGGGAGGGAGTGGCTGGGGGGCTTGTGGGGCAGGGGTCTGATGCTGAGCTCCAGAGGGCTGGGGGTGATGGGTAGGTGGGGAGCTCACAGACACCTGCCTTCAGCCCACATCTGAGGGTAGAGCTAGCACCCCGCTTTTACAGGCAGCCACCCCGTCTCCATGGAACCCCTCCAAGGGCTGCAGGATCCCTCCTGTCCCTGGGGCAGTTGTTCCAAGGGTCAATTCCCTTCCCTGCCCCTTGTTCCGGCTTTGGCTGTCGGGTCTCCCTCCGCCCTGGTGCGTTGGGTTAAGGAGCCCTCTGCTCCCGGGGGGGCGCTGACAGACCGGGATCAAGTCCCTGGACTCTGCCCCCCACCTGGGATGCGCAGATTTAAAAGAAAACACCCGGGGAGTCGGGACCGCGCTCCGGGCAGGGAGCCCGGCTGTGGGGCGGGGCGAGCAGGGGGGGTCCAAACCAACCAACCGCGGTTAGGGAGGCACAGGCTGGGCTGCTGGCTGGAGATTTCCCGATAGGAGTTTACGCGGCAGATTCAAACCCCCGATCCCAGGCTCCGGCACCGCCACTTCCTCGGAGACCGGCAGGTGCGTGTGCGGCGGGGGCCGGTGACCGGCAATGGGGGGATACGGTGGGGCAGGCGGGGGGCAGTGGCAGAGCCCAGCCCCCCCGGTGGCAGCCGCTGGGCCCGGCCCCTGCTAACGCCCCCCCCCCTTGTCTCTTCCAGCTGCTCTCGCCCCGCTGCAGCGCGATGGTCCCGGGCTCCGGCCGCCCCCTGCCCCTGCTGGCCGCGTGGGGGGCGCGGTGGGGTGAGTCCCGCCCCCCGCGGGGGTCCCTGCCCCGCCCCTGCCGGCCGCGTGGGGGCGCTGTGGGGTGAGTCCCGCCCCCCGCGGGGGTCCCTGCCCCGCCCCCTGCCGGCCGCGTGGGGGCGCTGTGGGGTGAGTCCCGCCCCCCGCGGGGGTCCCTGCCCCGCCCCCTGCCGGCCGCGTGGGGGGCGCTGTGGGGTGAGTACCGCCCCCCTGCGGGGGTCCCTGCCCCGCCCCCTGCCGGCCGCGTGGGGGGCGCTGTGGGGTCAGTCCCGCCCCTGCGGGGGTCCCTGCGCCGCCCCCTGTGGGGTTCCCACCCGGGTGCGCCGAGCCGGGGCGGGAGGGGCCGGGCCGGGGAGCGGGAGCCGCACCGAGCTCTCCCCGGGCCGGGGGGCGGCAGGTGCCGCTGGTCTCTCCCCAGCCCGGGGGTTAAATCCCGCCTGGAGCCGCGGCCAATTATCTGAAAAAGTACCTGGGGGGGGAAGCTGCCTTCTGATTGGCCGTCTGCCTCACTGCCCCGCCTATACCAGAAGTTGAGCAACCAATCAGAGCTCAGTCTCCCTCTCTCTCCTCCTGTGTGAGCTGGGTCACCGTCTCTGCCCCCCTGTTCCCTCCTGCACTCCGGGGGCGGGGGGACCCCCGGAGCTCCCGCCGAGCAGGGCCTGGGCAGAGACAAGGCTGGGAGCCACTGGGTGAAAGCAGGGGAGTCTGGGAGTCAGGACTCCTGGGTTCTATCCCTGGCTCTGGGAGGGGAGTGGTGTCTAGTGGTTAGAGGAGGGGGGGGAGCCAGGACTCCTGGGTTCTCTTCCTGCCTTTGCCACTGATTGTCTGGGTGACTTTTGAGTCAGTCTGTTCACTGCCTTTGTGCCTCCATTCTTCCATCTGTAATCTAAATTGTGATGCTTGTGTATAACTGCACCTGCGATTTGTGGAGTCCCTCGGGGAAGGGGCTGCATCTGGGGTCGCTGGGCAGTGGGGGTTGGAGGGTGGGTCAGGGCTGCAGCCGCATCTCTATGCCTGACTCTGTTTCCCTTTCAGGGCTCATCACAGCTGAGTTGCCCATCACCGCTCGGTTCGGGGGGGACGTCACCGTGAGCTGTCTCTTCCCATCCCAGCCTGGGATGAACCTCCAGCGCCTGACCCTCACCTGGCAGAAGGAACAGGTGGGGGCAGAGGCCCTGGTGGTTCATAGTTACTATTATGGGAAGGACCAGCTGGCGAGACAGGACGAGGCTTATAGGAACCGGACCTGGCTGGATCCAGAGGGGCTGGCTCGAGGGAACGCGTCCCTGACACTGAGGGGTGTCCGCATGCGGGATGAGGGCGTCTATCGCTGCCACATCACTTCCGAGTTGGGCGTCACTTCGGAGACGAGGCAGGTTACAGTGACTCAAACCGGCCACTTCCTGGCCAAGCTGACTGGGATTGCAGGAAATGCTGCATGTGAGTATTACCAGTGGTGGTGGGGTGGGGATCCCAGGGTTGGGATAGAGGGGGCTACAGATCAGGATTGAGGGGTGTTGGCAGAGCCATGGGGAACAGACCCAGGCTAGGACAGTCAATCACTTTTTCCTCCACTGAGCCCCACCACCGGCTGCCCTGGATCTAGTTGTGGTGGGTCTGGGATTCTCATATGATCCAGCCTAGGCTGATCCTAGACATTCTATGCAGATCAGGCCCAGTTTGGATGCACATTTGCTGCCATCTGGTGGCAGAGCTGTAAACTGCTCTATCATACCCTGATGCCGGCCACCCTGTAACTCAGGGGTGGTCAATATGCAGACTATGGGCCAAACCCGGACCACCAGACGCTGTTGAATGGACAGCAAAAAAAAAAAAAAAAAAAAAGTATGTATGTATTTTTTCTCTTACTTAATTGGCCTCTCAGAGTTGGTAAGACAACTCCCACCTGTTCATGCTCTCTGTATGTGTGTATATATATCTCCTCGATATGTTTCACTCAATATGCATCCGAAGAAGTGGGTTGTAGCCCACGAAAGCTTATGCTCTAATAAATTTGTTAGTCTCTAAGGTGCCACAAGTACTCCTGTTCTTTTTGCGGATACAGTCTAACACGGCTGCTACTCTGAAATTTATCATTATTGTTATTGTGATGTGAAAAATGTTTCTCTGGACCTTGACCAAGAAATTTGGACCTTGACAAAAAATAGACTACCCCTGCTGTAACTCATTGCCAGTTCCCCCTGGCTTTTCTCTCTGGCTGCAGGGCTGGGCGGCAGCTGGGTCCCTTTGCTGGGTCTGTGCCTGGTGCTGATCGTACCGGTTCTCAGATGATATCACTGAAACGCCCCCTGCAGACACGTCCTGGCTGCCAGCAACACCCGGGCACTGGCCCCGCCAAAGAAAGAGCTGCACTGAGACACCCCTGTGCGCGCAGACTATAAATGCTACATGTGTGCGCTGGACACGATGGGCTCAGCCTCCTGGCGACATCTCCCGGGGGACGGGCCCAGGGCTGCTTGTCAGGATTCCCGGGCAATGACGTTTTTCTTTGTACAAAGCAGCTTAATTTAACACTACGTTTATTGTCCCTGGGTAAAATTAGCCTCCATATTAACCACTGTGATATTCTTATGATTAAGGCTCTGTTTTAGTCACAGGTATTTTTAGTAAAGGTCATGGACAGGTCATGGGCAATAGACAAAAAGTCATGGCCCTGTGACCTGTCCATGACTTTAACTAAAAATACCTGTGTGACGGGTTGGATCACAGAAACCCCCTTGGGAGCTGCCACCCGATGTACCAAGTCTACCCCTGTTCCTGTTTTCCCTGCCAGCTCAGGACTCCAGCACCCTGTCTTGCTGAGCCAGACACTTCCGTCTGGCTCCAGACACAGACCCAGGGTCTGAATCACTTGTACCAGAGCTGCAAGTTTACCTGAAAACAGCGCACAGACATGTGCTTGTCTCTAGCATTCAGATGCCCAACTCCCAATGGGGTCTAAACCCAAATAAATCCATTTTACCCTGCATAAAGCTTATGCAGGGCAAACCCAGAAATTGTTCGTCCTCTATAACACTGATAGAGAGATATGCACAGACGTTTGCTCCCCCAGGTATTAATACATACTCTGAGTAAATTACTAAATAAAAAGTGATTTTATTAAATACAGACAGTAGGATTTAAGTAGTTCCAAGTAATAACAGACAGAACAAAGTAAGTCACCAAACAAAATAAAATAAAATGCGCAAATCTATGTCTAATCAAACTGAATACAGATAATCTCACCCTCAGAGATCCTTCAGTAAGCTTTTTCTCAGACTGGACACCTTCCAGGCCTGGGCACAATTCTTTCCCCTGGTACAGCTCTTGTTCCAGCTCAGGTGTTATCTAGGGGATTCTTCATGATGGCTCCTCTCCTCCCTTGTTCTCTTCCACCCCTTTATATATCTTTTGCATAAGGCGGGAACCCTTTGTCCCTCTGGGTTTCCACCCCCCCTCACTGGAAAAGCACCAGGTTAAAGATGGATTCCAGTTCAGGTGACATGATCACATGTCACTGCAAGACTTCATTACTCACTTGCCAGCACACACATATACAGGAAGACTCACAGGTAAATACAGCCATCTGCAGACAATGGGAGTCATCAAGATTTCAAACCATCCTTAATGGCCCACACTTTACATAATTACAATAGGCCCTCAGAGTTATATTTTATATTTCTAGTTTTAGATACAAGAGTGGTACATTTCTACAAATAGGATGATCACACTCAGTAGATTATGAGCTTTGTAACGATACCTTACAAGAGACCTTTTGCATGAAGCATATCCCAGTTACATTACATTCACTTACATTTTTATAAAACCATATAGACTGCACAACGTCACAACCTGTGACTAAATCTTACCTGTTGGGGTAGGAAAGGGAAGCGGCCCGGTGCCCCGTGCCGCCGGTGGTCCCTGACCACTACACTAGGGCAGTGCTGGGGACCGGCTGCCTGGGGCTGCCAGAGCAGCAGCCGGTGTGACTGGCCCCTGGGCTTCACCAGTTGCTGGGGTGGTCCTGAGGTCAGCCGCACCAGCACTGCAAAATTCACAGAGGTCATGGAAACCGTGACCTCCATGAATGATTCGCAGCCTTAGTTATGATGTGTTTTGTACAAAGTGTGTTGTGAGGTATAACTGAAAAACTCTTGATCTCTTGAGCATTAACATCCCCAGTTGAATTGTAAGTGCTAGCATTGTATGTGAAGTTATGAAGTTTTGCTGTGTGTGTGACTGAAATATGTTGTGAGGTTGAGCGACGCCAACAGCTGGACGTAACGACAAAGGGGCAACCCTCACAGGCCAGACAGGCGTTGATGGCCCATCAAGAAGAATCCACTCTCCCAGAGACTCCTCAGAGGGGCCCCTACACAGTGGGCACTGCCTGACCCCACGTCATATCAAGGATCTTTCTAGTCCCAGGAAGAAAGTATAAAAGAGGGAAAGTGACATCCTCACTTGGGCTCTCTCCTCCCCCATCACAACTCCTGGAAGATCCTCTGGAAGTCAAAGGCTGTGGCTACAGTCCAAGGCTTTTAGCAACACTAAACTTCCACCACCCACGAGCGGCAGCGGCTGTGTCAGCAGGAGGATGCTGTTCACGCTGGCGCTTGTCGGTAAAACTTGTGTCGTATGGGGGTGAGTTGTTGTGTTGTTTTTTTTTTTTTTTAACACCCTTGAACGACAAAAGATTTACCGACAAACTGCCAGTGTAGACAAATCCAAAGACTTTGAACGACGGAGATTGGTCCCAAGCTGGGAAAAGAATCCAGCCTGTGTATTGAGAAGTGTGAGCTGCCTGAAACACCTATGAGAGACAGACTGCTTGATTCAAATCGTGCTTTGTCTGTAGAATTTAGACTGCAAATCTTTTATTTCTATGAATCGTAGAATACCAGGGTCGGATGGGACCGCAGGAGGTCATCTAGGCTCAAAGCAGGACCAATCCCCAACTAAATCATCCCAGCCAGGGCTTTGTCAAGCCTGACCTTAAAAACCTCTAAGGAAGGAGATTCCACCACCTCCCTAGGGAACCCATTCCAGTGCTTCACCATCCTCCTAGTGAAACAGTGTTTCCTAATATCCAACCTAAACCATTGAGCACATGGGTTCTGAAGCCCAATGGGTGGAGAGATGTAGTTAGTGTTATCGAGGAGGGTTTGACATGATTCATGCTTGTCTCTCTTCATGGTATAAATAAAAGAACTTATTTAGGGATTGGTTTTTTTGTTCCTGCTTTGTGTTTGAGCCCCAGTTGTGGTGTTTTCCCAAATTAATGCTGAGTTAGTTCCTTCTTTTTATTAAAAGTTTTTGCTATATTCAGACTTTGTGCCTGTGAGAGAAGAAGTTTTGCCTCTTAGGGGCACCTAGGAGTGGTATGTAATTGTCACTGGGTGGGGGCGCAAACTGGTTTTGTGATGTATTGTTGAAAAGGAACCCCTAGCTACTGAACCTGGCCCTTGTTGCTGCTGGCTCCACCTGGCAGAAAGGTTACAAATACGTTTCTCTTTGTTTCTTTTAAGGAACACCCAATAGATTTAGTATAAAAATACACATTTTTGAAAGTCGTCTTTCTTTTGAAGAAAATCAGTCTGCCCAGCAGAAATAAATCAGTGACACCAACAGCTGCACATTATGTGCAATAACTTCCTGACTGTCCCCAAATCTCGTGAGATCCTGCCATCAACCCCAGCCGATTCTGCGCCTCTGAAATCCATGAGGCAGGTCCTGGAAATCATGAGATGGGCTTTGAAATCATGAGATTTTAAAACAAATTAATAGTCAAATCTGCCCTCTGGGCCACCGGGGGAGGCTGCCGGCGCCCCATGCATGAGGGGTGGGGGTGCTCCAGCCAACCGGAAGCGAACACACACAGAGAATTTCTGGGGCCAGCTCCGGGGTGGTGGTGGAGTCATGTCCTGTTAAGCCTGGGGTGGGGGAGCTGCCATCCTAGTGCTCTCCATCCCACCCTTAGTACTTTATACTCCCCAATTCAACCCCCGCGCACAATCCCTTACACCCTTGTGGTTTCCCTCCTGCCCCCGGAGGCAGAAGAAGCAGCAATTGGCTTAACCTGTAGCCGGGGAGAGTGAGGGTAGATATCCGGAACCACTTGCTAGCTCCCAGGGGCGTTCAGTCTGGACTCGGTGGCCAAGGGTACATCTACACTATGGAATTAGGTTGATTTTATAGAAGTTGATTTTTAGAAATTGATTTTATACAGTCGATTGCATATGTCCACACTAAGCGCATTAAGTCGGCGGAGTGCGTCCTCACTACCGTGGCTAGCATCAACTTACGAAGCGGTGCACTGTGGGTAGCTATCCCACAGTTCCCGCAGTCTCCGCCGCCCATTGGAATTCTGGGTTAAGCTCCCAATGCCTGATGGGGCAAAAACATTGTCGTGGGTGGTTTTGGGTACATGTCGTCAGTCGCCCCTCCCTCCGTGAAAGCAACGTCAGACAATTGTTTCGCACCTTTTTTCCGTGCAGACGCCATACCACAGCAAGCATGGAGCCCACTCAGCTCACTCACTATCACCGCTGCTGTTGCGTCCTGGGTGCTGCTGTCAGCAGACGGTGCAGTAGGACTGCTAACTGTCGTCAGCCACCGCTTCCACTGCAACTCTGCTCTCCTGCAGACACCATACCATGGGAGGCATGGAGCCCGCTCAGCTCACCGTCACCGCTGCTGTTGTGAGCATTGTAAACACCTTGCGTATTATCCTGGAGTACATGCAGAACCGGGCTAAGAGGAGGATTTTGATGAGGACGTGGACACACACGTTCCTGAAAGCACGGGCTGTGGCAATTGGGACATCATGGTGGCAGTGGGGCTGGCTGATACAGTGGGACGTCGATTCTGGGCCCGGCAAACAAGCACAGACTGGTGGGACTGCATAGCATTGCGGGTCTGGGATGATTCCCAGTGGCTGCGAAACTTTCGCATGCCTAAGGTCACTTTCCTGGAACTCTGTGAGTTGCTTTCCCCCACCCTGAAGCACAGGAATACCAAGATAAGAGCTGCCCTGGCAGTTGAGAAGCGAGTGGCAATAGCCCTGTGGAAGCTTGCAACGCCAGACTGCTACCAGTCAGTCGGGAATCAATTTGGAGTGGGCAAGTCTACTGTGCTCCAAGTAGCCAATGCAATCATTGACATTCTGTTATCAAGGGTAGTGACTCTGGGAAATGTGCAGGACATACTGGATGGCTTTGCTGCAATGGGGTTCCCTAACTGTGGTGGGGTGATAGACAGAATGCATATCCCCATATTGGGACCGGACCACCTTGCCAACCAGTACATGAACCGCAAGGGGTACTTCTCAATGGTGCTGCAAGCACTGGTGGATCACAAGGGACGTTTCACTGACATCAACAGCAGGAACTCTGGACAGTGGTGGGATAGTAGTAGGGTCCCCCCCCAGAATGGCATGCAGCTGTTCATAGAAGCAGCATGTATGGGGCTCTGATCCGGAGCAACCATTTGCCTCTTTTGTCTTTTGGTCGGCTTGCCTGAGCTCCTTAACTTTCACGCAGCACTGCTGTGTGTCCCCATCGTAGCCTCTGTCCAACATGTCCTGGGAGATTTGGGCAAATATATTTGCATTTCTTCTTTTGGATCGGAGTTCGGCCTGCACTGATGCTTCTCCCCTACAGCGATCAGATCCAGGGTCTCCCTTTCGGTCCATGCTGGAGCTCATTTGCGATTCTGGGGGGACTGCATGGTCACTTGTGCTGCTGAGTTCGCCACGCTGACCAAACAGGAAATGAAATTCAAAAGTTCCCGGGGCTTTTCTTGTGTACCTGGCTAGTGCATCGGAGTTCAAAGTGCTGTCCAGAGCGGTCACAGTGGAGCACTCTGGGATAGCTCCCGGAGGCCAATACCATCGATTTGTGTCCGCACAACCCCAAATTTGACCCAGCAAGGTCGATTTTAGCGCTACTCCCCTCGCCGGGGAGGAGTACAGAAGTCGATTTTAAGAGCCCTTTAGGTTGACGGAACGGGGTTGGTTGTGGACGCAGTCATTTTTAAATCCACCTAACGTGGCTAAATTCGACCTAACCCCGAAGTGTAGACCAGGCCTAAGGCAGGTTGTGGGATCCCCGCCACTGGAGGTTTCTAAGCCCAGGCTGGACAAACCCCTGTCAGGGCTGCTCTAGGGTTACTTGGTCCCGCCTCAGTGCGGGGGGCTGGACTGGCTGCCCTCCCAGCCCCACATGTCCGGGGTTCTATAAATACCTTTGAGGCTCTGGCCCTAGCCCCGCAGGGGTCTCACTAATCACTCTGATGTGGGGCAGTGATTAGAGGGGGACAAAGAACTGCCCTGCGTGAGCGGGGTTAGGTTGCCCCCAGTGGGGGCTGTAGTGTATGAGCCCCATTGTACTGACATGGGTCAGTAACCGCCTCGCAGGGGGATCTCCCATCGCAGGGGTCAGGGACAAGAGCAAGCCCTGGTGCAGTGGCTCTGTGCTGCCCATAGAACTGCACTGTCCTTGCTATAAAGTGTGGCCATCGATTCTAGAGACCCCTAGCTCCTGGCTACAGAGCCTTGGCGTGAAGGCGAGGGAGCCACCGGGAGATCAGCCCTGAGGCCAGTGGTGGGTGTACCCAGGGCTGGGCAGGTGCTAGGGCCCGGCTGGCTCTGGGGTGAAGGATGCTCCACATCCTTCGTCCCGGCGAAGCGACTCTCTGAGCAGCGTCCACAAGTCCCACGGCCGGGAGGGCCAAGGATCCACACAGCCAGTATCACAGACAGGGTCACGGCGCCCAGACAGGCCACCAGCAGCCAGACGTGGCTACATCTCTGTCCTGCAAGAGAGAGCCCAGAGCTTCCTGTGAACAGGGCCCAAGAGCCGGAGCGAGCTCCGCAGGCTCAGCGTGTCGCCCTCCCGCCCGGGCTGTTGTGGAGAAGCCCAAACCTGGGGCTACCGCGAAGCAATACCCCACTCTGCCACTGGAGGGAGACAATGGGTTAAATAACTCTGCTCAGCCGCTAATCCCCTGCCCACATCCCGCTGTGGGGCAGAGCCCTGCACCAGCTGGACAATTCCCATCCTCCTTCCCCCACTCACCGGGTCCTGCTGCCACTGTGATGTGCTGCACGGGGGTCTCCCGCCCGGGCGCTGTCACCAGGAGCACGGTGAGGTTGGTGCTCTGCCCCACAGGCACGGCCAGCTCGCTGCACAGGGTGTAAAGGCCCCGGATGTCCACGGACTCTGTGGTACTGCTGAGCTCTGTCAGGTTGATTCCCATCCCGTCCCTCCACTCCACGCTTGCCCGGGGGTACCCGCCCCCCGAGCTGAAGGTCAAGAGGGTGTGGCCCAGCCGAAATGTGGGGTCAAGGGTCAGATGAGGCTCACTGTAGGGTGCTGAAAGGAAAAACACTTCCCATGTCTCTGGAGTTTTTCACCTCCAGTTGCTTGACAGGCTCCAAACACAGGAATTGCTCCCCCAGTGCAGAGATGCAGCCGCCTCTGGGGTGGAACAGCCAGGTAACAGCTGCCTAGCAACACAGCACAAGAGGTTAAGTTTTGCAGTTTGAGGTTAAGACATGAAGTTTGGGGTTTGAGCCAGCTTTGAGGAGGGACATCGCCTACCGTTTGTCTGAGATCAGATCCACTCGGGATGGCCACAGTGTCCACCCCACACACAAACACTCTCCTCACCTTGGTCTTACCAGCCAGAGCCAGTTACCATTTATAGGAATACTGGTTTCCTTCTGCAGAAGATGTTTTGACACCAGATGGGGATCTGGCCCCAATTGGCCATAGCGCCATTGGAATCAATGGGGCTATGCTGGAGAATCTTGTCCTGGGGGTTTCAGTTTTGTTTCCAACATTAACTTCATTTTCTTCCCACTGATATTTAAGAACATAAAACGTCTAAAATGGGTCAGACCAAAGGTCCATCTAGCCCAGTATTCTGTCTTCCGACAGTGGCCAGTGCCAGGTGCCCCAGTGGGAATGAACAGAACAGGGAATCATCAAGTGATCCATCCCCTGTTGCCATCCCCCGCTTCTGGCAAACAGAGGCTAAGGACACCATTCCTGCCTATCCTGGCTAATAGCCATTGATGGACCTATCCTCCAGGAACTCATCTAGTTCTTTTCTGAACCCTGTTATAGTTTTGGCCTTCACAACATCCTCTGGCAATGGGTTCCACAGGTTGACTGTGCGTTGTGTGAGGAAATACTTCCTTCTGTTTGTTTTAAACCTGCTGCCTATTAATTTCCTTGGGTGACCCCTAGTTCTTGTGTTATGGGAAGGAGTAAATAACACTTCCTTATTTATTTTCTCCATACCTGTCATGAGTTTATAGACCTCTATCATATCCCCCCTTGGTTGTCTCTTTTCCAAGTTGAACAGTCCCAGTCTTATTAATCTCTCTTCATATGGCAGCAGTTCCATACCTCTAATAATTTCTGTTGCCCTTTTCTGAACCTTTTCCAATTCCAATATATCTTTTTTGAGATGGGGCGACCACATCCGCACTCAGTATTCAAGATGTGGGTGTACCATGGATTTCTACAGAAGCAACATGATATTTTCTATCTTATTATCTATCCCTTTCTTAATGATTCCCAACATTCTGTTTGCTTTTTTGACTGCTGTTGCACAGTGAGTGGATGTTTTCAGAGAACTATCCGCAGTGACTCCAAGATCTCTTTCTTGAGTGGTAACAGCTAATTTAGACCCCATCACTTTGTATGTATAGTTGGGATTATGTTTTCCAATGTGCATTACTTTGCATTTATCAACAAATGAATTTCATCTGCCACTTTCTTGCCCAGTAACCCAGTTTTGTGAGACCCCTTTCTAACTTTTCGCAGTCTGCTTAGGACTTAACTATCTTGAAGAATTTTGTATCATCTGCAAATGTTGCCACCTCACTGTTTACCCCTTTTTCTAGATCATTTCTGAATATATTGAACAGCACAAGTCCCAGTACAGATCCCTGGGGGACCCCGCTATTTACCTCTCTCCATTCTGAAAACTGACCATTTATTCCTACCTTTGTTTCCTGTCTTTGAACAAAAGAATGAGGAGTCTGGTGGTACCTTAAAGACTAACAGATTTATTTGGGCATAAGCTTTCCTGGGTAAAAAACACATGGAGTCTGAAGTGGTTTTTAACCACAAAAGCTTATGCCCAAATAAATCTGTTAGTCTTTAAGGTACCACCAGACTCCTCGTTGTTTTTGTGGATACAGCCTAACACGGCTATCCCCGGATACTTGTCTTTTAACCAGTTACCAACCATCAGAGAACCTTCCCTCTTAGCCCATGACAGCTTACTTTGCTTAAGAGACAGAACCCAATTTGTGCCTCTAGTTCTACCGCACCCCCCACCCCAGTCTGAACTGTAGAGTCTGGAGTGCCGGTGGCCAGCCTGGAAGGACACATTTCCGAATATGTGGATAACTACCAATCTCTGCCATCCTTCAGCCCTCTATGGCACATTGCTTTGAGCCCCAGACCCCTAAATGGAGTTGGTAAAGCAGTAAAGGCTGATTCTAGGCAATACTTCTCCCACCACAGTACAAGCCTAACCGATGGAACTCCTTCCCACAGATATCACTGAGGCCAGGAGCACAGAAAGATTGAAGAAACGATTGGACATTGCTATGGCGCAGAGAATCCAGAGTCGTGGTCGAGGGCTGCAAACCCTCCTGCTTTGGGGAATCAGCTGTAGGTCGGAGATCTTTGAATCTCTGCTCCTGACAGGAGACCTCTCGAGGTCCCTTCCAGCCCCACATTTCGATGCTAAGATGCCGTGTCCACGTTAGTCTATCACTGTGCACTAGAGTTACCCTTGCCTCTGCCTCTCAGCAGCTGGCCACGCTTGGAAACGGGCTACCGGGCTACGTGGCCCCATGGGTCTGAGTCAACCTTATCTTCTCCAGGCAGCTGGTGGAGCCTGTAAACCTATGTCACAGCATCTGGTGTCAGCGCTGATTATACCCACAGTGCCAGGCACTGACCTCTCCCGTACTGCTGCCCGCTGGCGTTAGGTGGGAGATTATCTCCGAATAAACCAGCTTCCAGCCCAGCCTCCCTCAGCTGATCGGATATCGAAAGGCAATGGAGCGTTAGGAGAAACCTCAGGTTGAATGAGCCGTACCCATCACTGTAACCTGCCTCGTCTCCGAAGTTGTGCCCTGCTCCGAGGTGACGTGGCAGCGATAGATGCCCTCATCCTGCGTGCGGACACCCCTCAGCATCAGGGACGCGTTCCCCCGAGCCAGCCCCTCTGGATCCAGCCAGGTCCGGTTCGTATAAGCCTCGTCCTGTCTCGCCAGCTGCTCCCTCCCGTAATAGTGACTATAAACCACCAGGATCTCTGCCCCCACCTGCTCCTTCTGCCAGGTGATGGTCAGGTGCTGGAGGTTCATCCTGGGCTGAGACGGGAAGAGGCAGCTCAGGGTGACGTCCCTCCCGAACTGAGCAGTGATGGGCGACTCAGCTGTGATGAGCCCTGAAAGGGAAACAGAGTCAGGGACAGAGATTCCAGCCACTGCCCAGCCTCCCACTGCTCTGGGGCCTCTGTAACCCTAGGGGTTAGTACCAAATGGGATGGGAGCTTGGGGGCAGGAAGAGATGAAAGAGGACACGGACTGACATGCTTCAGGGACCAGGACATGGAGCCTTTCACACGTCAGCCATTAGGTCAGTCAGTGGCTCATATGTGAGATGAGTTGGTTGTCTCAGCCCAGTTCCTAGCAGGACCGGCCACCCACACCAATAAAACCACCCTCCCAACTGGCCCTTTGCTTAGCAGCAGAGAGGCCGAAGGCTCGACAGGCTCCAGAGCTTGATCTCCAGCCATCCCCCTATATGGCAGTGGGGCAAATTGGTGGAGGGGTAAGAAAAGGATCTCCGTGATGCTCTCTCCCCTAGCATGGACATGGCTGACACCGAAACAGAAAGGCTGGGGAGACGTTTGAACACTAGAGCCATGAGCTTGGTGTAGAAATCAGGCAACTGTAACTAATAATACACGGGCTGTTCTGCTCATTGGCCTTCTGGCTTCCGAGCCCTCGGGCTGCACCAGGTCGAGATTGCAATAGAGCGGGTCAAAAGTTTGGTCTGAATTGTTGTTTTCAAACAAAAAATGGCTTCTGAGGTTGAAATGAACACATGTCCCCCCCGGCCCCAATGGCTGAATGGTTTTGGGCAGCCAAAATCCCCCAAATTTGAGTCACAAGCAAAAATATTCTCAGTTTTCTAATTTTCAGGGTTTCAATGAAAACGCCCCAAAATTCTGAGGAAAAATGTCAGCAAAACCCCAAACTTTTCCACTGACGTTTTTCTTGGCAACAAAAATCCACATCCCGGCCCACTCGGGCTTCCAAGCTTTTCTCCACAAACGTGAGGGCGGAAATCTTAGTTTTGAACCACATAATCCTCTGTAATCCCCAGTCAGCAAGAGCTGGGCTTTCCGTGAAACGCTCAATATCACCATCAAGTCGTGACCCTCTGGGACGGAACGGGCAGAGTGTGTGGGGAAAGGAGGTTTCTTAATCGAAATGGTTTTAGAGAGCTGAACAAATATCAACTTCTTTTCCTGTTCGTGTTCAAAAACACCATTCCCCGCACTGGTGGGCACTAGAGCGTCGGCCCCAACGCCGAGCTCGGGAGCTACAAGACAGTTCGGGAGACTCCGTGGTTTGTAAACAGGGCAGGACAGGACAGAAGGGGCTAGCAAGTGAGATACTCACCCCAACAAGCCCCCCACACAAGGAACAGGAAAATTGGGGAACAAAGGCCGGGGCACATCACACGCTGCAGAGTCTCAGATTTGCCCTGCAAGGGAAGCGCAGACACTGATTGGCAAAGCGACCCCCCAACGCCCTACGGAATTGATTTCATAGTTACACCCTCCGTCCTCCAACAACATCTCCCAGCTCCCAAGCAGGGAGCAACTCAAACCAGCGACTTCATCCTCGTCCCGGGTCAGCAACGAGCAAAAGACGGTCCCATTTGACAGCTCCTAATGGATGTACTGGCTCAGCCAGTCCCATTCCGAGCGTATCAGCCCCCTCCTGAGCCCACCGTCCCACCCCCACGCCCCATTCCCCTCCCTCCACCTCTCGGCCATGATCAGAGGTCAAGACAGTCCATGCCCTGGATCAGACATCGCTGCTCAGCCACGGGGCAGATCCCGTCCCAACCGGGGAGACAGGCGGACGCTGTCTGAGACAAGCAACCCGAGTCACTGCCGTACTCACTGGAGCAGCCCAGCAGGACCCGGCAGACAGACCCCAGAGAGAGTCGCGGTCAGGAAATGGGGGACCGGCACAGGCAGCGTGGCCTCCTGAAGCCTGCTCTGAATATCAGTCACTCCTTGTTGGGTATTTAAATTGCTGAGCTAGGGAATTCCCAGCAGCCGATTACAATGGGGGGGAAGCACAGGGGTTTTCAAATACAGGGAAAGAAAATGTCCTGTGGCAAACTCAGGACAAACAGCTACAAAGGGGGTAGTAATCAGTCCCAGGGGGTTAAAAAGGCCTCTCCCAAGCCACTGAGTAGAGAGAACCATGGGGAAATAAGATTCAGCTGGGCAAGGGGTTACTAGGGAACTAATTAGGTTCAGCTGGCTCCAACTGCTTGGGACCTTTTTAAACCCTCCCCGGCGTGGAAGGGGGGGGGGGAAAGAGAGAGTGAGAGAACCAGGGAAGCTGCCAGGAAGTTAAGAGCAGCAAGGCTCTGAACCTTTCCTGCAAGGAAGGCTGCACTCTGTCCCCAGAAGGGAAGATAAACAAGCACAAGGGGCTGACAGAGAAAAGGAATAGCCAAACCCTGTGCTACCTGCAAGGATTTGCCTTGCCCAAGCCTGTGTCTCCAAGGCTAAAAAGGACTGAGCCTGCTGAGGAGAAGAAGGTACTTTGCCACAGTCCCCAAACTGATTGGTTTTAGCCCCCCCATGACCAATTTCCTGTAACCAAGGCGGAAGGCAAAACAAATACAGACTCACCAGCAGTTTGCTTTAGTCTTTGACCTCCACGCACAGGCAGCCTCTGAGTGACCTGCTGCTTCTCACCGTGGAGCTGTCAGACCCGTCAAGGGCTGGGGGGGGGTTAAACGGCCTGTGACCACAGCGTATCCTGTGGTAACTGAACCCTTCCGCCAGGTGGGGTCGGCAGCAACAAGGGCCAGGTTCCGTATCCAGGGGTCCCTCTTAACAACGCAGCGCAGAGCCGGCTCGAGCCCCCACCCAGTAACCTGGGAAATTACACACCAGCCCCAGGAGCACCTCAGAGTCCCAACACCCTGAGTCAGTGCGCAGCAAAAAAAAAAAAAAAAAGGAACTTTTAATACAAAGGGGAAAGGAACCTGGCATTGATTTGGGAAAACACCACACTCATGACTGAAACATCTGACCACGAGAAATCCCCTGCCCCCGAGTCATCTGGGTAGCGTCCTTTGTCTCAGTTTCTCACTGTGCAGTGTGAAAGTCTGTCAGACAAATGCCCCTTTAACACCCCGCTCCCATTTCCCCACCACCACACCCCACTCACCGTTGCTACCCTGGGTCAGTGAAGACCCAGAGGTCAGAGGTGTGTTCATGTGACTTCATCTCCCACCGGAGGGGAACGTGGAGCAGCGCCTCCATTGCTGTCACCACTATGCCACCATCTGCCCTGCCGCCGATGGCCCTGCGCAATCAGTTTCCGCTGCCACCTGCCTCTCTGTTGCGACTCTGCCGCTCGGTCTCTTGAGGCTCCCCCCGGCTCTCCGGGATTTCAGCGGATAGTGGGGGAACCTCACAGCTAGGGCAGGCTGGGCAGATTCTTCCACAGGAATATTGTGCCACAGCAGGGGGGAGCAGGGTCGGCCTTAGGGAAAACGGCGCCCAGGGTGAACTTGTATTTTGACTCGCCCCCCCCCCCCCATCACCCCTCCATGGGCCCCACAGGCTCCCTACTCCATCACCTCTGGGCCCTGCTGCCTACCCCCAGTGCTTAATTTGTACTGAAAGAGATGCCAGAGCTCAGCCCTGGCACAAATTAAGCCCTGGCAGGGCAGCCTAATACCAGTGTGTGCTGGCCGGGCGCCCAGCTCTGAAGGCAACACCACCGCCAGCAGCAGCGCAGACGTACGGGTGGCCTGGCATATGGTGTATTGCCACCCGTACGTCTGCACTGCTGCTGTGGCTTGTGGGGCCTGGTGCTCAGCATGTGGCTCAAGACGGGCTTTGCGCTGTCACACGGGGGCTGCATTTTGCCAGAGCCCACGGCCCTCCTGCAGCCCCCTGGGCACTTCTGGCTCACCGGGGTGTCATTTCAGATTTTCGGGGGTGGGAGGAAACTTTAACCATGATTTCAGGGACTACTTAGGCACCTGAAAACTCTCGGAGCTTTTGCAGATAATAACTTAGGAATTAGCCGACAGGAGCTCTGTATCTAATTGTTATATAGGGGAAGGGATAGCTTTTGTTAAATTGTTAAATGCAGGAGGGATAGCTCAATGGTTTGAGCATTGGCCTACTAAACCCAGGGTTATGAGTTCAATCCTTGAGGGGGCCATTTAGGGATCTGGGACAAAAATCTGTCTGGGGATTAGTCCTGCTTTGAGCAGGGGGTTGGACTAGATGAGCTCCCTTCCAACCCTGATATTCTATGAAAGAAAAAATATATACAAATGCCAATTAAAGCCTCATTTAAAGTTTCTATGTAAATTTAGAACAATCAGGAGATAATACAGCAAGATATTCCCAAACCCGAGCCTTGAGGTATCAGTTCTGGTGCTTTAACACGGATATCAGAAACACGTTTGATACTTTGTACCAGGACAAATTTTTTCCTGGCCTCAGAGTGCGGCCACCAACTCCTGCTGGTGGCCGCTCTGACAATTTTCCCTAAAATAATTAACTTTGGGAAAAACAAATAAATATGCACATCCAAATCATTGTAATTTAATTATTGCTAGCTAGTAAGTCTGCTGCTGTGAAAAGTGATATTAACAAACGTACAGGTATCACTTTCCACAGCAGACTTACTCAGCCTCAGCAAGCCTGGGGACAAATTAAGCCCTGGATGGGGAGGTGGATGGATAGGCAGCAGGGAATAGGGGCGATGAGAGGTGGGGGAGGCAGCAGGGAGCCAGAGCCTGAAGCCTGGGGGACGGGCCCCACGGAAGGAACTTGAAGTCCCGTGGCCAGAGCCTGCCACCCCGCCATCCCAGGGCTGAAGCCCAAGCCCCACCACCCCTGGGAAAGTGGGGAATTCACAGGTTGCCTTCTCCTCCAATGTTGTGTCCCAGGTGTTTCCAGAGGGGGGCAGCGGCAGGGGCCAGCCCCTGCTGGCAGCCCCAGCAACCAACATCAAATTGGCACATCCAGGAGCAACAGGGAGGGGGGAGGGATGGCTGCTTTTCCCCCCAGGAGGCTGTGGCCACAAGAAAAGCCCCTGGTGGCCACATGCGGCCATGGTGACCGCATTTGAGAATCGCTGCTTTATACACTATCTTTAGCAGAGATAAATAAAATAAATAAATCTGATTAAAATCTGCTTACTTTCTCTAACAGCGCATGGAGGCAGAGTGGGCGTGTTCTGTGCAAACAAGGTCTGGTCCTCAAGGCTTTGGCCCCAGCTCATCGCTAGATGTCGGGGAGCTCATTCAGACCCTGCTTAGACACCTAAAAATCATTTGACGAGCATGGAGCAAATCCAGGACAGCAGAGTCCTGAGCCCCGCAGGGTCCACCCTCCTTCCCCGGTCAGCACTGGATTGGGGCCCCGCCCGGTCGGTGACTCCAGTCCCCATTTGGACCAGCCTGGTAGGTACCACTGTTGTTGCTGCCAGTGGTGTTAGTTTGCTGGGGAAAAAGAGAATGGGAGGGAGCCCAGGATGGGATGGGGGAGTCAGCGGTGGAGGAGGAGGGGGCTGGGTGACACTCCTCTCCTCATGTGGGCCAGGCACCCCTCTGTCCCTCCCACCCGTCCCCGGCCAGGTGCGCTGGAACAGGCTAGACTGGAACAATGGGAAACCACCTTCACAGTTCCCCGGGCACCATGGGCAAAGCAAGGTGTGGGACTAGGGGGAAGGGAGGTCAGCCCACTTGTGGCCTGGGAGGGCCAGACATGGCAAAAGGGGCTCCTAGGGGATGGCAGAGGGGGGCGGGCAGGTGAGGCAGGTGGCAGGATGAGGGTATGGCTGCTGCACGCCTCAGGGCGGGCTCCAGCCTGTCAGAACACAGGGCAAACACCCCAAAGGGGTGGGGTGGTTTATAATTAGATTTACACCCACAAACGCGAACACTTGGATTACGGCAGCAGTCTCACCGCAGAGTCCCAGACTATTCTCTCTCCAGTCTGTCTCGCCCCCAGGCAAGTCGGATTTAGTGATCAGTGGTCACTGACACCAAAACCACCACCACATCCAGGTTGCTCCTAGTCCCA